CCTAAAATGGGAGTCAAAGTCGGCAAAATCGCCGATTCGTAAATATCGCTGACACATCAAAATTCACGAGAGCATAATTTCATCAATTTTCCATCAAATTTCGTACTTTTTGTTTTATTACATTCACAAAAAGATTCTCTACCATTTCATAAGAAAAAATAACAATTTTTTTTTTTGAAAATTCTTGGACACTGGGGCACCACTTCAGATTTTGGCCTTGGACCCTGAAAGGGTTAAAATCTTTATTTAATCTTAATACTAATGCAAGGTAGTCAAGGTGGAGGTTTATAAGAATAATAATCCTGAAGTTGTACATAAAAACAATATGACAATGACAATGTTTATTTCCTTGTAAAGCTTACAATGTGTGGTTTACATGTTATAAAGTATTAATTACAAAGAAGGCCACTAGCATGCCTAGGCATTTCAGGCAGATTAATACTAATTCTTATTCTATATTGATATCAGTTATGGAGCAGTACATTTGAATGAATTAAAGATGAAAACCGAGGTTCCACTGTATACTGGATGTGGGAATGAAATTTAAGATTACAGTCAAGGAGAAGACCTAGAAATTTACCCTCAGTGTGTCTTGTAATAGGGGAACCATTTATCAATATACAGTGGACCCTCCCTTTTCGTCATTAATCCATTCCAGAGAGATCGGCGAAAACTGAAATCAGCAAAAGCTGAAAACATTTTCCCCATAAGAAATAATGTAAATCCAATTAATCCATTCAGACATCCAGAAGTATTAACAAATTTATTTTTTTAGTTTAAATATAATTTACATGCAGAAAAGAATGACAAATAAATATAAAGCACTAATAAAATGTATAAATGAACATTTAACATCACACTTACCTTTATTGAAGACTCTTGTTGGTGTATGGTAGATGAGCGGAGGGGAGAAGGAGGCGAGTTTATTGTTGGAGACAGGACAATATGCTTCAATATGACACTAATATCAACTCTACGGCTTATTTATGTATCACAATTCATCTCATATGACATAATAAACAATATTAATAACATAGAAACATGACATATACTCTAGAATGAATAAAATATGTCATGATGTATGTCACGAGTGGTGCTGTGTTGTTGTTGGGTGTATAAGGGCCACTGAGAGCATAAGCCATACATAGAGGTGGTGAAGGTGGCTATGTTGTCAGGAGACCTATGTAAGTCCAACAACACTGGAGGAGTTAGGTTCATGCTGTCCTTTTTCCATGGATTAATCGCTTAACTTACTTGCTACACTGTTAATGCTACACTTCATTGCTGGCTGGCACTATACCCTTCATCGACTCGTGCTGCATTAGTATCGTACATATCATAGAATCACTGAAGAAGGCAAATTCTCCCCTCTCTCTTCCTCCTCCACTTTGGTACTTTGCTACAATTTCTTTCTTTAATTCTATCATGTTCCTCGCTTTGTTTACCAAAGGACTGGCACTAGGAGCTTTCTTTGGGCCCAAGGTGGCTATATTAGCAGTCATACACAATAAACAAGCGCCAAAAACAATGGATTACAGTGGACCCCCGCAAAACGATATTAATCCGTTCCTGAGAGCTCATTGTTATGCGAAATTATCGTTATGCAAATGAATTTTCCCCATAAGAAATAATGGAAATCAAATTAATCCGTGCAAGACACCCCAAAGTATGAAAAAAAAAAATTTTACCACATGAAATATTAATTTTAATACAGACAAACTGAAAAAGACATGCACAGTTACATGACACTTACCTTTATTGAAGATCTGGTGATGATTGATGGGATGGGAGGGGGAGAGTCTTATGTTTAGAAGGGGAATCCCTTCCATTAAGACTTGAGGTATCAAGTCCTTTTCCGGGGTTACTTCCCTTCTTCTTTTAATGCCACTAGGACCAGCTTCAGAGTCACTGGACTTCTGTCGCACAACATATCTGTCCATAGAGGCCTGTACCTCCCGTTCCTTATGACTTTCCTAAAGTGGTTCACAACATTGTCAGTGTAATAGTCACCAGCACGGCTTGCAATAGCTGTGTTAGGGTGATTGTCATCAAAAAAGGTTTGCACTTTAAGCCACATTCCACACATTTCCTTAATCTTTGAAGTAGGCAATTCTTCAATTTCTCTCTCCCCTCCTCGAGCAGTTTCCTCAGGTCTGGCCTCATGCTGATGAAGATGATCTAGCAGCTCATCATGGTTAGTTCTTCATTGTCCTCCTCCACCAACTCTTCCACATCATCCCACTAACCTCCAACCCCAAGGACTTTCCCAAGCCACAATGGATTCCTCAACTGGCATAGGATTCCCAGGGTTTAGCCTCAAACCCTTCAAAACCCCTTTGGTCTACACATTCTGGCCACAGTTTTTTCCCAAGCAGAGTTCAAGGTCCCTCTTAGTCACTCCCTCCCAAGCCTTACCTATAAGGTTTACACAATTGAGGATATAAAGTGCTCTCTCCAAAACTCTATTAAGAGTCAATTGAGTTTTCTGGGGTCACTACAAAGCACCTTTCAAACAGAGCTTTTGTGTACAGTTTTTTGAAGTTTGCAATAACCTGCTGGTCCATGGGCTGCAGGAGAGGAGTGATATTAGGAGGCAAAAACTTCACCTTAATGAAGCTCATGTCCCCATAAAGTCGCTCTGCCATGTCTGTAGGATGACCAGGGCATTGTCTAACCCCAGGAGGCCCCTTAAGGTCTAATTTCTTTTCAGTTAGGTAATTTTTCACATTGGGGGCAAATGCTTGGTGTAACCAGTCATAAAAAAGTCCCTAGTGACCCATGCCTTACTGTTTGCCCTCCACAGCACACACAAATTAGCCTTGAGGATATTCTTTTGCCTGAACGCTCTGGGAGTTTCTGAGTGATACACTAATAAAGGCTTCACTTTGCAATCACCACTAGCATTGGAACACATCAACAGAGTAAGCCTGTCTTTCATAGGCTTATGTCCTGGGGGTGCCTTTTCCTCCTGAGTAATGTAGGGCCTGCTTGGCATTTCTTCCAAAACAGGCTTGTTTCATCACAAATTTAAAAACTTGTTCGGGTTTTGTCCTTCACTGTCTATGTACTCCTTGAATTCATGCACATATTTTTCAGCTGCTTTGCGGTCCGAACTGGCAGCCTCACCCTGCCCTTTTCACACTATGTAGCCACTACACTTCTTAAATCTCTCAAGCCAACCTTTGCTGGCCTTAAATTCACTCACATCATCACTAGTTGCAGGCATTTTTTTAATTAAATCCTCATGCAACTTCCTAGCCTTTTTTACTTATGATCACTTGAGAGATGCTATCTCCTGCTTCCGTTTTTTTATTTATCCACACCAATAAGAGTCTCTCAACATCTTCCATCACTTGCGATCTCTGTTTTGAAAACACAGTTGAACCTTTGGCAAGAACAGCTTCCTTGATTGCCGTTTTCTTGGAAACAAAAGTAGCGATGGTTGATTGGGGTTTCTATACAACCTGGCCAGCTCGGAACATGCCCCTCCACTTTCATACTTAGCAATGATCTCTTTCTTCATCTCTATAGTAATTCTCACCCTTATTCCTGTAGGGTTGGCACTAGAAGCTTTCCCCTTGGGGCCTATGGGGCACTTATTTTGCAAAAAAATCACCAAAAACACTGTAATAATACGAAAATGTTCCGATTGTTATGCTTGGTGTTACCGCGGGG